CAACATCAGACCAAGAGGTTTATAATGGTTCGTCTTTCCTAAACATACTTTACCAGGTGTCAATAACATCTTTGTTGGGAGGTTTAAAACAACTAGAAACTGTTTACCTGAAGATTTTAAAAGTTTGGTCTGATATCTACCTTAGGTATCAGCTCATTGTAAGATATTGGATCTGCAACATTCTTAAGAAGCTTACCTACTCTATCAACAAAAGGAATCAATATCCCCCAAAAGTTTGATGGTAAATTTTATGATCAACATTCATGGTTTGAGGGAACAGACCATGCCATGGGACCGGCTTCACAGTTTATGGTTAGTGTCATCAATGATTTCAGTTCAAGTCCTGTCATAGACGGTTGATCATTCATTCTTTTCGTTGCATTTACATGACTATGAACTGTACACAACTTGAAATAGTGAAGAAATAATATTCCTAACTGAGTTGATGCAATTTACAAATGATGAGATTGCACAGAATTCCTATTTCCTAGTTATGTGAAAGCTATGGTCTCTCTTCACTAGATCTGTTCATAAGCTGAACAGAACATATTACAGGCTTTTTAATTAGTTTACAATTGGCCAACCATTTATTCCCAAGGATTCAACTAGGACTGAAATTGATTGGAACTGCATGTCTCATTGGACAAGGCAAATAGATCAATTAGGCCTACAAGGTCAATGCAAGTAGATAAAGACCTACTTTTCAAAAAAAGAAAAGTAGTTAAAGATCTTTGTTCCACAAAAATTAGGGAAAGTTACACAGCATGAGGTGTATAGCTCAAGAATCCTTTATCATCGACCCTCCAATATCGACATACTTGTATCATTGGTTGAAGAAGATTCAAGCTTGCTTGATGTAGAATCTGTTTCAGGTGATTTCCTTTCCATCAGGAAACCAGGCTGTTTTGGTTTACTCAATGCTGTGTCACTACCCAGCATCAGAACCACTGATGGCATGCTTGGTCTATCCTCCGGATGTTGTTGCAGACATAGGAGACCAATGTGGATAACTCTTGCCACTTCTGATAGATTGCATGATTCTTTTAACAAAGGATCGATCAGCTGTACAGCCTTTTCTTCTCTCCACAAATCCCAAGCCTAAGACATGTTATAAAAGTTTGATCATTATTTGCTGTTCAAAGTACATTAAAAGGTAAAGTTTGGATACTTACATGTCCATTAAGGTTAAGGCCTTGCCAGGATTGTAAAACCCTCTATTTTCTTCCCACTTATAATCTCCAGCAACAGTATTCCGAAGCTAAAGACATCCGATTTTACTGAGAATTGCCCATCAATAGCATATTCTGGTGCCATATAACCACTTCAATAAATTTTCAAAAGAAAACACATCAATGAACTTGTAGAGGTGAATTCATGAGAAAGGAAAAAAGAAAGAAAGAAAACCACTTGGCTGCTTACTATGTTCCAACCACCCTATTTGTGTTCCCCTCAAAGTGGTCTCCTCCAAAAGATCTAGCCATGCCAAAGTCTGAAATTTTGGGGCTCATCTCATTGTCAAGAAGAACATTACTTGCTTTGAGATCTCTGTGTATAATCCTCAATCTAGAATCTTGATGTAGGTAGACGAGCCCTCGAGCAACCCCACCTATAATATGGAAACGCCTAGGCCAATCTAGTAGCTTACTTCTTGTTTTATCCTGTCATGTTTAAACTCCCATTAGTTAATCTACCAACTAAACTTGTCAAGCAGAATTTATAGGATTATGAGAGATTAAATACGAAAATGAAGAATCAAACTTTTGTTTGGCATATATTCATAAACCAGCATCTTTTCCTCTCCTTCAATGCAGCATCCCAGAAGCTTTACAAGATTTCGATGTTGAAGCTTGGCTATTAGTGCTACTTCATTTTTGAACTCAGTTAAACCTTGTCCAGAGCTTCTTGAAAGCCTCTTCACAGCAATTTCTTGTCCATCTACCAAGGTACCCTGAAAATATTGTACTTAAAGAGTTGTAACTTTGTTCTAAACATACTTCATATTTTTTCTTATGATCATTTTCACTAGAATTTTGCAAATTTACCCTGTATACAGGCCCAAAACCACCTTGTCCTAGCTTCTTGTCAATTGAGAAATCATTGGTTGCTTTGCATATTAACGCTAAGTCGAATAACTGGACTTCTGAGTCTTCCCTTTGCCCTTCAATGCTCCTGTCGTTTATCACATGATTTTCTCTAGCCCCTGAAACATTTTAGTACATACTAACATTAGCCATAGAAGGCTATATCATGTTGGTCAATTGTATTTCCGAAATCAGCTAGGGAAGTTGGTAAGTATTGCAAAACGTAGTGAAAACACGATTTGTGAAAGCAAATGGATCAGACAGTGTTACCTTTTGAGCTTGCACGACTTCTGCAAATGTAACAGCTAACAAGAAGCACACCAGCAACTATGAAAATGGCAATTGGAATTATGACTGCTATCTTGACCTTATTTTTACCTTTTGGCTCTTCATGGAATTTTCAATAAATCAAAGGCAAAAAAGGAAATCAAATTAGAACTAAGAACAAATGAACATAAGCTATAGACCAGTAATGGAGAATGAAATTGGAAATTATTATGGAACTTTAAGGAAATACTCAAATGCTCAACAAAACCAACAGTAAACTTACCTACTTCAGAGGCAGACATTCGAATGTATGTATCCTGACCACCATCTTGAACTAGTTTAATATCAATCAGATCACCAAACCAAAGGGCACAACCGTTGCCTTCTCTAATATCAATGGGTGTGTAAGCCATACAAGAACAGTTCTGTAAGCATCTAGCCCTGCATTCCTTGAGACTCATACTTCTGTTTACCCATGAATTTCTGGTATCTGGCACTTTCAGTCCAACATATTTGATGAACCCATCACCTTTCTGGCAGTTTAGTGGTTTATTGCGCTCACAACCTGGATTAAAGTCCATTGTGTACATATTCTGTGATGATTTAGGCTTGAACCCTTTTAAACACTGACAAGGTGGCACTTCAGTACTGACACAACTCCCATATGGACCGCAGCGATCATAGTTGTCGCAGATGTCCCTGGGTATGTATGTGATCATCATCCAATTTCCAGCTTTTTCATTCCATATATAGTGCTGACCCTGATAGGCATTTTGGTTCAGCATATATCTTGAGATCAGTGATTTATTTTTGACAGTATATACTTGGTACACCTCCTGTTCATTCCAAACAAAACCATTCTCAAAAATGGAATTTGGCCTTAACATGGGTGCACCACTGAATCTGAGGCCATTCCAGGGGCCTGTCCTAACGTATTTATTTGGGCCCTTCAATGCAACAATATCAGGGTATTGATATAGCTCAACACCAGCCGTGAAGTCTCCAGGTGATGGATCATCTGAGTTCTTCCAGGCTGACAGACGCCGATCAAGACCAGTCCTCAAGTCCCATCCAAGTTTCATCCCTGGAAGTAATGTATCGCATGGATAATCAAAACTTTGCCACAAAAATATTTCTGAATCATTATCATTTTCACTTCTTAGGACAAGATTTCCAGAATCTAAGAGCTGAACTACAGGACCTTGAACTCCTTTCTGTATGTTGGTGTACCAAACAACACCATTGCTTCGACTGAGCAATACAAGATTACCTTTTCTGGTTATCATCAGCAAACCAGTTGTGTCATTGATCGGATTGCTTCTGTTTGCAACCCAAATAACAGTTTTAACTGCTATTTTCTTGTACCAAATTCCCAAGTAACGATTCTTAGAGCTTCCAGGACTAAAAAACCCAAGCTCAAAGATTCCATCTCTTGAAACTAAGGTTCTGCCATCACTAACAGACTGGGAGGAGGTGAAGATATCGATTCCATCTGCAATACCTGAAAAAAATATTAGTAAATTGGTGCCGGTGAACATGAAAGACAGAATGTCCATTGGTTTCAACTTTCAAAGCTAGTAAAACTCATAGAAAAACTTCTCAGTTTGGATGATTTCAGAGAGCAAATATATTTAGATTGATGATCGTTGACTAGAATGAAAGTCTTCCTTGAAAAGACCATTAGCTGTCTTCTGCCCTACCTAGCCCTTAAGAGTAATGACTAGCAGTTTATGGATAGCAGAAAAGCTATCTGATAGTAAATACAGTTCCTCAACTGTCATGTGGGTAGGAGAGCTCTTAAATGTGAGGAGGGCAAAAAAGCTTGGAAATCTTTTTAGGATGAAAATCTGTGGATCCTTTTTCTTTTTTCCCTCAAATGTACTATGATTGGTTGGCTTTAATTAGCCTCTTGAACCTATAAATTACAAGCTATTTAAGAATTTAGCTTCATTCTGTTATTCTTACACTAAATAAATCCAACATGACAAGTCACAAACAATATATTCATTATATGCAGTTTCTTAGAGTTCTCCCTCCTTCCATCCATAATCCTACTCATAAGATGTTTTCATTAAATATATCACAGCTCAGCTTTTTCATTTTGTCTCATTTTTTTTTTGTTTTCACTTTTCAGTGAATTAAAGGCCTATAAAATCTTTGTCATCAGTAAACAACATCATCAATGATTAGGTTCGAGCCTTCTATTAAGTTTATGTAGCAAATACATATTAAGTAATGGCTTACCATTCATTTTTATTATGGTACATGTATGTGAGGATTAAATGACTCTTCCTCAATGAAACATCTGAAAAAGTGCATGAGAAAAAAAATATCAAAACAATTTACAACTGATGAGATTGCATAGAATTCTTATTTCTGACTTATATGAAGCTTCAGTGCAGTCATCTTGTCAATTCTCTGTGAGACAAATATATATATATATAGGTGTATAAAATATATAACATTACCCCCAAGTAGGCACTTGCGGGGTGCTAAGCTCAAACTAGGACTAAACCACTGGTATTAAAGCATCAGGTACAAAACATTTGGAGATGAAAGAGTGTTTTCTTTTTTTTGAAAGGTGATTTTATGAATACTAAGCCACCATGCCATCCAAAGTCTTTAGCAGTTTGTTAGAGACTTCTACTAGCATCTGGCTTGTGCAAAATGGAAAATATATACAATTACAAAGGGAAACTGCTTCACAAAGAACAATAGCAATTTCCTTCCCTAACCTGAGCAATGAAACTAGAAACAGCTCTCTACCCTTTACCCACAGACTTCTGCTGTACAGGAACTAACAAAAGTCTCAAGAAAACATCAAGCACATCTTGGAGATGAAAGAGTTAAGTATACAGTTAATTAATTATCGAGCATTTAGTACTGACAGAGTCATTTCATTTCTGGAAGAAGATGCACGTTTGTCTGATGAAGAATTTTCTTCAAGTGGACTTTTCTGAAACAAAAAACCAGGTTGTTTGGGGTGTGGCAATTCAGTTTCACTTCCCAACGTTAGAATCACAGATGACATACTTGGCCTATCCTTAGGATGCTGTTGTACACATAAAAGACTAATATGGATGCATCGGATCACTTCTGATAGATTGCAAGACTCTCCTAAGCATTCTTCTACAACTTCTAAAGGAATGCCTTCTTTCCATAGTCTGCAGCAAATTGAAAGACTTTTAGGTTTTATCAGTCCAAGAGAAGCAACAAAAATTTGATTATAATAATATCTGCTGAAACTGACATGTTCAAAATGGTAGGCGCTCTGTATTGGATGGAAAGCCCTCTATTTTTCTTCCCATTTATTATCTCCCGCAATAATATACCAAAGCTAAAGACATCTGATTTTACTGAAAACACTCCATCAATAACATATCTGTTAACCACTGAAGAACATCATCAAAAGCAATAAGTATATTGAATTAAAGGTTGAAACAAAAGAGCTTTCTTTGATATAAACTAGTCCTATAGAATTTATAGGATTATTGAGAGATTGAATACCGAAAATGAAGAGGTCCAAACTTTTGTTGAGCGTATATTCATCAACCAGCATCTTTTCCTTTCCTTCTATGCAAGCATCCCAGAAGCTTTACAAGATTTCGATGTTGAAGCTTGGCTATTTGTGCTACTTCATTTTTGAACTCAGTTAAACCTTAGCCAGAGCTTCTTGAAAGCCTCTTCACAGCAATTTCTTGTCCATCTACCAGGGTACCCTGAAAATAAGGTACTTAAAGAGTTGCAAATTTGTTCTAAGCATATTTCATACTTTGTGTTCTGATCATTTTCACCAGAATGTTTCAAATTTACCCTGCATACAGGCCCAAAACCACCTTGTGCTAGTTTGTTGTCAACTGAGAAGCCATTGGTTGCTTTGGATATTAATGCTAGGTCGAATAACTGGACTTCTGAGTCTTCCATTTGCCCTTCAATGCTCCTGTCGTTTATCACATGGTTTTTTCCACCCCCGAAACATTTTACTACATACTAAAATTAACCATAGAAGGCTATATCATGTTGGTCAAGCATATTTCTGAACATCAGCTAAGGAAGTTGGTAAGAACAAAGTGAAAACATGATTTATGAAAGCAAATGGATCAGACAGTGTTACCTTTTAAGCTTGCATGGCTTCTGCAAATGTAACAGCTGACAAGAAGCACACCAGCAACTATCTTGACCTTATTATTACCGTTTGGCTCTTCATGGAAATTTCAATAAATCAAAGGAAAAATAGCAAATCGAATTAAAACTAAGAACAAATGAACCAAAGCGATAGACCAGTGATGGAGAACGATACTGGAAATTATTATGGAACTTTAAGGAAACACTCAAATGCTCAACAAAACCACAGTGAACTTACCTACTTTAGAGGCAGACATTCGAATGTACAGATCATGACCACTGTCATGAACTAGTTTAATATCAATCAGATCACTTTATTTTTATTTTAAGTAAATACAAATTAAGTAATGGCTTATCATTCATTTTTTATTTTTGTTATTATGTAAGGATTAAATGACTCTTCCTCAATGAAACATCTAAAAAGTGCATGAGAAAAAAAATCAAAACAATTTACAACTGATGAGATTGCACAGAACTCTTATTTCTGATTTTTATAAAGCTTCAGCGCAATCATCTGGTCAATTCTCTGTGAGACAAATATATAGCATTACCTCGAAGTAGGCACATTTGCAGGGTGCTAAGCTCGAACTGGGACTAAACCATTGGTATCAATGCATAAGGTGCAAAACATACTGATCATCAATAGCATCTAATAATGGATTGGAGATGAAAGAGTTAAGTACACAGTTAAGCAATTATTGAGTACCTAGCACTGACAGAGTCATTTCATTTGTGGAAGAAGATACATGCTTGTCTGATGAAGAATCTTCTCCAAGTGGACTTTTCTGAAACAAAAAGCCAGGTTGTTTGGGGTGTGGCAATTCAGTTTCACTTCCCAACATCAGAATCACAGATGATATACTTGGCTTATCCTCAGGATGTTGTTGTACACATAAAAGACTAATATGGATGCATCGGATCACTTGTGATAGATTGCAAGACTCTCCTAAGCATTCTTCCACCAGTTCTAAAGGCCTGTCTCCTTTCTATAAACTCCATGCCTGCAGCAGATTGAAAGACTTTTAGGTTTTATCGGTCCAAGATAATTAACAAAAATTTGACTATAAGTTGCAGTTTTAACAAGAAGCAAGAGGCCACTGTACCGCTGATCAAAGCCGTCGACGCACATTTCATTTAGCAATGAACAAAGGGAGAAAAGACATCCTTAGCATTAGGCTGATCCCATTCCACTGATCCCCACCATTTTCTCGGCCTTGCACGGATAAGCTGTAGAGAAGAAGGAGCAGATGGTTGCCCATTTTCAAGAAGGGGAAGAGAAAAAGGGATCCTCTTTACTCCTGGACAACCGAACATCGTCAGGATTTGGAGAGAATCTGTAGGAATCATAAGTCCACCACTGCAAATGCTTTTCAATTTTGGTAAGTCTTGCAACGA